TTAGAGGAGTTGCACAAAATACCATTAATTCATGTTGACGAGTAATCAGATCGACCATATAGCTATATTTTACTGAGAAATATATTAGTTGGGAAAAAAATTATATTTCTATGCCTTTTTAAAAAAGATATAATATGGATATCTAGTACCACTTACAAAATTATTTAAATTAATGTGGTATGTTTTGTGGTTAAATATTGGAAGAAAATTATATTAGAGACCCCCATAATCTGTTAGTTTCAACTAAATATATTGTTATTTATAGTGTTCAAACTTAAAAAGTGGTGTTCCTGAATCTATTGATTGTTTATTATATTATGATTCTATATGAAATACCTATGTATATGAACCCCGTTTATTTTTAATATATATATATATATATATATATAATTGATCATTTAAAATATGTCGGAGTTGTTGGAAAATTGAGAGTATTTCAAATCAATGAAATATTATTATAAGGTTTTAGAGTATTTCAAATGAATGAAATGTCATTTTTTAAGTTTTTTCATAACTATTTATTACTATTTAAGTCTTTACTAAAAAAGAGAGTCATTTTTATCTTCTTTAATAACAACAATCACGAGTCTTTTAATGTCAATAAATGTATAATTTAAGAGCATTTTCAAGCTCAGCTTTTGAACGTACTAATGTTTCATTGTGGGGTCTTTACTACCACTACTAGCTATAATTATGTATGTGTGTGTGTGTCTTGCCAAGAAGAACCTAAGCTAGGTACAAGTGAGCTGCCTTGAGAGAAAAGGAAACTACATACTCCACGTTACAATACATATATCAATATATACTACTTTAGAAATGGTACATTTCAATATCAGATTTAATCATTTTGCAGCACGAGACTTTTTATTTCCTAAAAACACAATAACAATATGCAACTTAGAAGTTATGATCCTCATAAATGTCATAAAGATGCTATATGCATGTTGGATATATTTTTGGTTTAGTAACATATTAAAAACTAACTTCTGAATTACTCTGTAACAATTTTCTAAAAGTTGTTTTGAACTCAAACTTTAAAGGATATTTTCAGTTTTAAGGAATTTAATTTTGGGTTATAGTTACTAAAATTGTTAAACTCTTCTCCCAAAGTAGAATTTTCCTAAAGTTATTTTGAACTTGTTTATTATGCTCACGTAGAACTTATCTATCTCATATTTATCAGTTGATTATCATAGATTTGCCTTTCTAATACTATGTATTTATTTGGGTTAAGGTTATTGTGAAAAGTTATTCATGTTAATATGATACTTCATGTGAATTAGTTATTGGAAAAAAGCATTGGAAAGTACAGGTACGCTCTAATCTTTTCATTTATAATTTATATGGGCATTTGGGTACGCGCAATGAAATTACATATGTGTATATGGTAATTAAGTTTGATTATTAATATTCGTCATTGATATTTTGATTATATATATACACACATATATACTCCCTCCGATTCATAAAAAAGTTCCGGTTTTGACTTCACACATATTAAAAAAAGAAATTTGACTTTACTGTGGAGTGCACTGTTTGACATTGTTTGGAACTGTTTTGATGTAGATAATTTGTCTAATAAGGAAATGTTTGAAAGTGGAACATAATTTTGGAACTGTCCGAAAAGGAAATGTGGAACTTCTTTATGAATCGGAGGGAGTATATATTTTCAATCAAACGAGAACTATTCTTAACATGAGAACCGTGAGAACTCCACTTTTAACTCCATATGATACACTTTATTTAAAAAAAAACTCCATATGATACACTATAACGCTTGCATGTTACACATTTTCGTAATGACGAAATATTTACAAATTTACCACCGTAGTTATTTGATTTGTCATGTTTGAAAAAAGTGTAACGTACAAGGGTTATAGTGTATCACATTGAGTTAAAAGTGGAGTTCTCACGGTTCTCACATTAAGCATGATTCTCATTAGAAGTGCACGTCAAGTAAGCAACGGACGGTGATGAGTTTGGCTACAGTGACGAGTTTGGCTACCAGAGCAAAAGTTTCATGAAAATCCACTTCTTCAATCTGATCAAAATAAAGTGGAAAGCTAATTCATATGTAATGTATAAATAGCATCATATATATATATATATGTGTGTGTGTATATATATATATATATATATATATATATATATACATACATACATACATACATACATACATACATACATACAGAAAAGTTCAGGTCCGAACGTTCGGACAGGACCCTCCGTCCGAACATCCCCGTTTGGGGCCCTTCCTGGTGGAATTTTTTGATGAAATTTTTTGAGCATGTTCCTCCTCAAGTCTAGTTTGTCCATACCAAATTTCAGCTCAAACTTCGATCGGGAAGGTATACAAATAATTTTTTGAAGTTGACTGCGTTTTTATATGTACATTTTGACGCAGTCAACTTCAAAAAAATGATTTGAATGCCTTCCCGGTCGAGTTTTGAGCTGAAATTTGGTATGGACAAACTAGACTTGCTGAGGAACATGCTCAAAAAATTTCATCAAAAAATTTCACCCTCAAGTTCCCCAAATGACCATGTTCGGACACTGTTCGGACAGAAAAGTGCTGGACAGGATCATTCCTCTCTCTCTCTCTACATATATATATATATATATGTATATATATATATGTATATATATATATATGTATATATATATATATATATATATAGAGAGAGAGAGAGAGAGAGAGAGAAATCTTCATGTCCCTCCTGACCGGAGCGCCGTCCGGACTCCGCCTTTTGGGGCGGTTTTCGGTGCTATTTTTTGCTGAAATATTTCGTGCATGTTCCTCATCAAGTCTAGTTTATTCATACCAAATTTCAGCTAAAACTTCAATCGAGAAGGAAGTCAAATATTTTTGGAAGATAAATGTGCCAAAATATACATATAAAACACAGTTATCTTCCAAAAATCATTTGATTGCCTTTCCGGTTGAATTTTTAGCTGAAATTTGGTATGGATAAACTAGAATTGATGAGGAACTTTGTAACACTTGAGATTTAATATAAACGGATTAATAGTACTACTCATACCAACAGAGGTGCATCTCCTTTTAAGGGAGCTCATTACCTAAGAACTCCAAAGTTAAGCGTGCTTGCACGGGAGTAGTCTTGGGATGGGTGACCCCCTGGGAAGTTTCTCAGGGCGCGCATGAGTGAGGACAAAGTGCGCGGTAAAGGCTTGTGGTGGTTTGTGGGGACAGTACTATTGGTCCGGAGTAACTACCTCGGGTCCGGTGGGGCCGGGGTGTTACAGGTGGTATCAGAGCAACCCTGCGACAGTGTGCTGATCCGTTGGATATTGGGCAGACACCTAGCAGGGGAAAAGATTCTGGGATTTGATTGAGATTGGTTTAAGGGCGCAACGAGGACGTTGCGATCCTAAGTGGGGGTGATTGTAACACTTGAGATTTAATATAAACGGATTAATAGTACTACTCATACCAACAGAGGTGCATCTCCTTTTAAGGGAGCTCATTACCTAAGAACTCCAAAGTTAAGCGTGCTTGCACGGGAGTAGTCTTGGGATGGGTGACCCCCTGGGAAGTTTCTCAGGGCGCGCATGAGTGAGGACAAAGTGCGCGGTAAAGGCTTGTGGTGGTTTGTGGGGACAGTACTATTGGTCCGGAGTAACTACCTCGGGTCCGGTGGGGCCGGGGTGTTACAAACTTGCACAAAACAATTCAACAAAAATACCACCGAAAACCGCCCCAAAAGGCTGGGGCCAGACGGCGTTCCGGTCAGGAAGGGAGGGACATGAATAATCCTGTAACACTTGAGATTAATTTAAAAGGATTGATAGTACTACTCATACCAACAGAGGTGCATCTCCTTGTAAGGAGCTCATCACACAAAAACTCTAGAGTTAAGCGTGCTTGCACGGGAGTAGTCTTGGGATGGGTGACCTCCCTGGGAGGTTTCTCAGGGCGCGCGTGAGTGAGGACAAAGTGTGCGGTAAAGGCTTGTGGTGGTTTGTGAGGACAGTACTAGAGGTCTGGATGGTGTGTGGAGTAACTATCTCGGGTCCTGCGGGGCCGGGGTGTTACAAATCCTCTCTCTCTCTCTTATATATATATAGAGAGAAGTGATCAGGTCCAGTCGGGAATATGTATTTTCCGGACCAGTTAACTTGCAAAAATCATTTGACAACCTTCCCGGTCGAATTTTGAGCTGAAATTTGGTATGGACAAACTAGTAAAGTTCGGACGGTCCCTCCCGTCCCTCCGGAGGGACCTGATCTTTTCTGTGTGTGTATATATGTATATGAAAGTTCTAAAACTAATGTTATATCCTTAGAACTAGTTTAGATATATATAAAAAGTAAAATTTAGCATGTGAAGCACAATTGAGATGCACATATAATGTAATTGAATACCCAATACAATACATATAACTTATAGACACATAACGATTAGATCAAGTTGATGTACTCGAGAGGGAGAGAAAACAAACACAATTTCATGTGCTAGAAGTCACAAATATATGAAATATATTTATATATATGATTTTAATTTTTCAATTTAAAATTAAAAAGCTAATATTTTAACATAAAATACATATTTATTTTTAGCTACTTAATCTTTATATTTTTAAATTTCGAATTTTAAATTTATAAATTACTATTTTTTTATTTATTTGAAGTCAATAATGAAAAAATTGATACTTTATAGAAATTTTAAGGATATTTTTACACTTTTTAAAAATTCAAGGGTATATTTGCACCTCCACATGTACTTCATGAGTATATTCGCACATTTTCGCTTTACAAAAAATGATATACCTTTTAGTTATATTATAGTTAGGTGATTTGTATTTTTCCTCTTGTAATTGTGATTTAGTTGTACTCTTACTTGGAATGTATAGGCAGTTAATTAAATATGGATTAAAAAAATATAAATACATATAGCTAGTCATGCAAGAAGAATGGGCACTTAGTTTGTTGAAGTAGCAAGGATATATGCATGTTCCATCTAACCTCAATTTACCAGCACAAAACTAGTAAACACCCATTGCATACATCCAACATTGTTTTTATCATACGAGGTTCAATTCCTCCATAATTTTAATAGCAACTCTCATCTTCATGGAGAAATCAATTCTCATTCAGCACTAAATACTCTAAATCGCCTTCAGTGCTTATATACTTGTAATAAAGTTTCATTAGCATAGACAAATCCCTACATATGCAATAGTTCATTATATTAATGATGCCCATCACTTATATTACTCCTATTACTAAAACTATCCCTTCTATTATGTTGATTGTTGCAATGATGATTATGTTATCGTCATCGTCGTTCCCTGCTACTGCACATAGTCATCCATCCAGAAATCATGATGTCCTCGGGGCCATTGCAGAGATGCAAAAGGCGAACTACTTCACTTTTGTCATGCTCATCAACATGGCACCTCCTGACCTCTTCCAAGGGAACTTTACTTTCTTAATGCCCAACGATAGGGCACTCTCCACAGCCACCCTACCAGACAGTGATGTCGTCAACTTCTTGCTCTGCCATTCAATCCCTTCGACTTTGCTCTTTGAGCACCTCCAACATTTCCCAACTGGCTCCTTCATCCCATCTTCTAAGCCGGATATGATGCTCAGGGTCACCAACCATGGCCGGAGACAGTTCTTCCTCAACAACTCTCGTCTCATCAGCCCTAATATTTGCACCACCGGCTCCTCCATAAGATGTCATGGGATTGATGGGGTTCTACTACCCGCCACCTCCACAATGGCATCTAATCACGGTGGTCTCCCACATGTGACGATCGCTCCACCTCCCCCTCCTTATACTACACCAGTGGCAAAAGCCTTGCCGCCTGCAGCTCCTTCTGAACCGGCACCGCCAGTCACATCATATGATGATCCAACACCCACACCACCTCCGGTGGCTAATTCATACGAGATCAACAACGCACAAAGATTGAAGTTGCTATCATCTATGTGTGAAGGAATAATATTTGGTTTGATGTCGTTTCTAGTGTTGATGTATGACCTATAGTATTTTTAAGACATAATCATTTTTCCATGACAGTATATGACTAAAGTTAGCTTCTTTTCTTATGTATTATGTCTGACTTATATGTCTTTTTTCATCCAAAAATGTATTTTGTAATAGAAAAGAGAAATGTTCCAATGACTCAAATGTTCTTAATTAAGTCATCCCACCATTTGCAAAGCAGCCTAAATCGTAGCTAGTAAATTTAATGCGATGTACTTAACATTCTCAAATATAGATATAATCGTCCTTCAATAATGTAACAATATTCATACATTAATGTCTACATTTTTAGGCCAAATGTATCTTCAACGGTCGATGCAGACATGTAGTAGCCAACATATACAGAGGCAAGACGGTAGAAAAAGTTTATTCAAATAAATTTATACATATACAAAATTCACATAAAAATAAAGATATTTACCCAATTTGGGTCAGTAGACCAGAGGCCTTGAATTTCCCCTATCTATACCCATGGAAAAGTTTAATATTTTACTAAATATATGGTAAACAGTCATATTCAAAATATGGTTTATTGATCCTTTTTGGTCATATCCTTGAACTTTTCCTAAGAAAAGTTGTTTTTCATACCCTATAATACGGAGTACGATTTTTCTTTAGCTCCTATATTTTTAACAACATTTTCAAATTGTTGTAATAAATGATGGTTCCTATTCATTCTTGAGTTCCTATTAAATCTGAACCAAACAATTTTTCGACTCATACAAGAAAATGATGAATTAAAATAATATTTAGAAAAATCATGTAGTTGAGGTTTGTGTTGATGAGATAGAAATAATATTGACCCTATACTTAATACTATAAAGGGCAAAGGGGGTGTCTTGGTAAACTCTATGGTACCCAAATGCAGTGACAGACCCAGAAAAATTGAGTCATGGGGTCCCTACTCTAATGTTACTCTAATTAATACTTCGTATAAAATTAAATAAATAACATGCAACATCATAAAAGGGAAATAACAATGTAAACAAAATGTAGCATCTAAAAACTCTATTTCTCTAAAATGGTCACCTCCAACTTCCCACTAAAAACATAACATGGTAAACAAAACACATCATCTTTGGCAATATTGTATTTCAATTCAACCATTTATGCTCATCAAACTAACTTGAAAAAATTCTACTTCTTTTGCACCCAATTATTATAAAAAGGAAGTCATGATCTGGAGGGTGAAACAGTCAAACAACCCTTTTTGAATGTAACTGCGGTGTAACCCGTCTTGAACATTAGGACAAAAATCGGAAAACAGTTTTTCCTCAATCTACTATGTAGATTATATTCCAAATTAGTTTGACTTTCAGCAATTATTTGATCCAATTCTTCATTTACTAATGACGAACCATTTAAATTAACATATGAAATACACGCGGTACTCCGAATTTCTTTAAATCTGGGTACACAAGTATACAAATTTATTTAAATCTTAACATTCAAAAAAAGTTTGATAACTAATCCTAAAAAGTGAAGTATGTAAAGGATAAACAATAAAATATGGGAATTGAAAAAACAATAAAAGTAAACAATGAATTATGGGAAGTTTTAAAAAATACAAAGCTAGAGGTGGAGGACGTCGAACACTGGACGTCAAGGAAGAGGATGGACTTCGGTATCATAGATAATCCCGTTACATTGCACAAACCTGTTGCTTTTATTGTAGCTTTCATTGGATATATACATTTATCATTTAATTTTATATCAAATATGTATAATATATATAGGTATTTTTTTGGAAGTGGACGGGGTCCCAGGACCCCGTGGGTCCGCCACTGCCCAAATGGTACCATACCTTGTATACATGGACTATGTAGAGTATTGTAACTTAAAAGTAAAAGAATGATGAATGATGACATGAATTGATCATATGCATCATAGACATGAATTGTAGCAATTTTTTAACTTTGGGCAAAACATGTCAACATCAAATAACCGCGGCGGGAGTTTCGTAAATATTCCTCCAAAAACGCAAATTACAAAAATTATAATGCGACACATTGGCTTAGAAGTCTCATTCTTATCATTCTCATGTTAAACATTATTCTCATTTATTCCTGTATAAATATATATGTGTGTGGGTGTGTGTGGGTGTGTGGGTGTAGGGAGTGGTTCTAATGAGAACACTCCTTATTGTGAGAAATAAGAACAAATCTTAATCATAGATCTTGATGAATTAATGGTCAAAAGAGGAGTAGGTGCACGGATGTACAATGGGAGTGCAAACACTTTTAAAAAACACCTTGCTCTCTCATGTAATCACATGTAGGTTACATGGGAGAGCCTATATGGTACAACCGGATGTATATACATCCGGCCCAATTAGGAAAACAACCCAATAAGCAGTACAAACCATTTTTTTTTCGGTGACACTTTTGTAATTTAAGTGAAAAATCACGGCTTACGCTAAATGAGCAATATTGTAATTTTGGTGAGCATCTAGCCTATTTGATTGAGCATTAAGAGGTTAACAATGAGTATAACAATTTCTGCTTCATATCTTCTAGTTTTTTCTTTTTCTATTATTTTCTTTTATAAAAACTAATTAAATTATATCTATTATCTACTCCTATTAATTTAAATATGCGATTCTAATGTAATACGATACTTTTGAAATATGCATTGATATGACATTTAAAAAATGAGCATATCATCAGTATCAAATGAACATACATAACTTAGAAAGGGCACATTGATATGAAAATCGTAAAGTTTGTTAGTTGAACATCATGACATTTTAATTGAGTATCAAACCTCCACTATTGACATCAAAGTCACGACTTCTGGAGAATGAGTAATATTGAACCTTTAATGAGCAACCAACCTACTCTGTTGAGTATTAGGAGTCTAATATTCAGAATCGTGATCTCTGCTGCATAATTTGTAATTCACTTTCTTTTTGTTATTTTTTATCGTAAGGTTTGTTAGTTGAACATCACGACATTTTAATTGAGCATCAAACATCTGCTATTGAGATGAAAATCATAGTTTCTTGTGAATGAGCATTAATGAACTTTTAATGAGCATCGAACCTATTATGTTGAGTATTAAGAGTCTATCATAAAATAATACTTTTAAAAATGCATTGATATGACATTTAGAAAATGAGCATAGGATCAGTATCAGATGAGCATATGTAACTTACAACATGAGTATTAATGAATTTGTTAGTTGCTTTGCTAGTTGAACATCACAACATTTTCATTCAACATCAAAACTCCTCTATTTTCGGCGAGCATCAAATCCCCGTTATTGAGTATTAGAATCTGCGTTTGAGTATCATGATTTGTGGTCTCGTGTCTATAATCAACTCTTATATAAATCTAATGTAATATGGGATTTTTGAAATGTGCATTGCTAAAACATTTTAAAAATGAGCATAGCAGAGATACTTAATGAACATACATAATTTACAAAATGAGTATTCAAAAATTCAATGCTCACTTATGTATGTTCATTTTTTAGACGTTTTACTCATTTGATTTTAAGGTAGAATTCATTTCTAATGTGCTTGGTATAATATAAAAAAAGTAATCAACAAATAAACAAACGAAAAGAAGTAAATAAAAAGACTAAACAAAATAAAGTAAAATCAACTAGCTAGGTAAAAGTAAAGAAAAAGTCAAAGAAAAAAGACAAAACTAGATGACGGTTGTGCACAAAGCAAAAAGCAAAAAGAAAAAGTAATCAGAATAGATGGCGGTGCAGAGCTTTTTGGAGTTCCAGGCGTAGCAAAATTTGATCCACAACAGGAAACGACCGACTCGGCTCTTTCACCGTTCCCTTCTCCTGTAACAACAACGGCTGCCAACACCAATATATTACAAAAATACCCGGTTGTACCATGCTCAAGGTACAGCCGGTTGTAGGATATAATTTCCGGGTTACATGGATACGTTGATAATTTTAAAAAGTATCCATACGTTGAAGGTTGTTATTTCCCTAAAAACTAGGTAATAATAAATCTCAAATCATATAAAATTTCTTTAGTTTAAAAATTGATTTAACTTCTTAAATAATAATCCGATTTTAACAAAAACTAATACCAAATTAAATAACTTTTTATGCTCTTTCATATGACACCAATATGTCATATATAATTTTTAAAGATAAAATATGTATAAGATGTATACAATAAAGAACACCAAACATCTCAAACTATTGGATGCACAAGAACATGTATCCAACACACAATCACTGATATCTAATGCATATGATCGAGATGACCTCGTACTCAATAACACTTCCCCAAAAAACTGATATCGAATGCACAATAAAGTTATGCAAATTCTTCAGATATATAATGCACAAGAACCATTATCCAATGCACAACAACATGTCATGGACACACAACGATCAATATCTAATGCACACGAAAAGTAGTATATCACACAGTGTGTATATAAAGCACCAAAACAAGTATCTCAATCACAAAAAGTAATATCCAACCCACAACAATTAATAACTAATATTAAACACATAAGGATTTCATATAATTTTAACTATTACTCCATATATAATACACATGAACTAGTATCTACGGCACAATATGTATATATTGTAGAGAACGTGTATGTAGCACATAGTATGTACATGAAGAATCACAACAAATACATCATGCACAATAAGCGGTATCAAAGGCAAAATCCCAAATAGTACATTTGAGTGACACAATAGTGCAATAGTGAATTGTACTAATGCATATGAGTGAGCAAAATATGCAAATGTTAAGACGTAAAGTATGTTGAACATAGGGAAACCATGAATGTGCAACTAATAGTGTCATTCATTGTGCATAAAGTAAAAAAAATGTAGGTGTGCATTTGAATGACATAGTAGTGCAAGTAGTGCTTGAATTGTGCACAAGGGGTGTCATTAGTTTCTTTTTGAGGTCGTCTATGCTAATTTGCACTCATTTGCAATAGAATAATGTAATAGTGATTAAGATATTATGCTAATTGCATTTGAGAAATATAAAATTGATGCAGTAGTGACTAAGAAAAGGAAAACCAAATGAAGAGAAAATGTAGTAGCACCGCCTCATCTACGGCGGACATCTCCGTCAATGTCTTTTCCTCGACGACGACGGCACCATGGTCTCCAACGACTCAACCACGGCGCCGGTGCTTTCCTCCACCACTGTCGCGGCCGTTGCATGCTTCAACGCAGATGGGGAGACCACCATGGCTCCTCCAATGCACTCCTCGCCGTTCCAGACGCCGGCTAGGCCAAGC